TCTATGAATTATTCATGATTTCATGGAAAATGCTCAGAATTGGAAATTTCATCTACCTTATCTTAATAATCATAATAACCAGAAAAGAGAGAATCATAATTCAGTTGAAGAAACTATTTTTAGAGATTTTCTTTCACCTCAATTTCTATCAAAAATGATTCTTATCGTTGAATTTAATCATCAAAAAGTTACCTGAAAGTTCATATATAATTCAGATAATCTGAACTTTGACTTTTTCCCATGTATTAAATGCATAGAAATACGATAGAGTTTTTAATTCAATTGAAAACTGAGCAATACCTTTGGATTTTAAATTTTTGCAATTTTGAAAAAGAATCAAAATTTTATCCATAGAAATGATAAACCATCACGAACTTTGATAAATATGATTCTGAATGATTCCAAGGGCTCAGTTGTTATATATAAAACCACCCCTGACATTCATCATCTTCCTTTGGGTTTTCTTTATGCACCATGTTCAATGTAAACATTTTGGCTTTGTTGGGTGTTGAAAGTGCTAATTTTAGGCTAACATTATGCCAACCGAATTAATTATCTCATTTAGGTTAACATGCTCATTATGATGATGATGATGATGTAAAATAATGTCAGCTTATCACAAGACTGTCAAAATTTGCTGCAAAATTCAAATGATGATGACATGGAAATACTCATGGACCAAAATGTCAGATTTCATGTTATTAGGCTTGAAACCATATTGATATTGTTGATTATTCATATTAATCACATGGTAATATTTATCATGTTGTTAATTATAATGGTTAACCAGATGAAACCTTTGATTAGTTTTCAACTGTTGAATTTTCATTTTTTTTATTTCACCATTGAAATTGATTCAATCTCAATTGGATACAATTGAAATTACCTGAATTGATTGAATAAAAATCATAACCAATTGAATTTCTATCAAAACTGTTTCCATTCAAAGTGAAGAAAAATTTTCTGGATTAATCATGAATTTTCATGATATATACTTTTTCAGTTCCACAATTTTCACCTTTCTTACTTATTTCTTTCAGAATTGTATATAAGAAAATCTGATATAAATAGTGAGATATTAAGAAGAGAGAAAGTAAATCCCATTCATCTATTTGGAACTGAGCTTACATGGAGGATGTAGAGAGAAATTTTTGTTTCAAAACTGAAAATTTGATTTTTTTTTCAATTTCCATTTTTTCATCATGTTATTGTTCACCATGTTTTATATAAACACAGGATTGAAACAAAATGTCTTCCTTTTTGCTATTCAAAGTTTTCATCAAATAATACAATGTAAAGCTCACCTATTATTTGCTATGATTATACAATAGGTAATAATAGAGATGGAAATTTTTGATGTAAAGATTGAATTAGATTCCAGGTAAGGATAAATGTTGATAACAGCAACAGGCATGGTAACACGATTCTCGCCTGAGGCTATGTGATTGCTTAATTTACTGAATGAAATATTGTTCAATTTATTTTCATCAATTGTCTGTGAATGGATAACAAGATGATTACCTAAGGTTATCATGTTTTTCCATCATCTATTTCCTGTTCAGTTCAGTCTTGATCCTGAGAATTGTTGAAGAATAACATTTCTCTTACTGATTTCCTATATCATTGAATTGAATTCTGGTTTAAAAGGGTAAATGATGTGAAAGATATAATGATTATCATGATACATAAAATGATTCGCAGCCATTTTTATGGATCTACTATTAATCCAGGATAATTTTACCTTATTTTTTCACCTTTTTTTCTGTGCAAAGAGTATAATATATTCTGAGTAATAATAATTTATCATGATGAAAATAGTAACCGAAAACTGTAATCATGGTGATGATTATAGTTGTAAAAAAATACTAGGATTGAAAATTATTACCACTATTATTATATTGATGAAAACTGACCAATGGCTATAATGATTCCCAGGGTCACTTTATGAGGATATTTACTATACAATTGACCAACACCCACTGGACGTTGATTAGCAATAAAATTATATTATTAATACAATGAAATGATGATCTCTTTAAATTAATAATAAACAATTGATAAATTACTAGCAATTTAATTTAAAAAGTTGAGGAGGTGATAGAGCAGCAATATGGGTTACTATTAATTCAATGTTTATCTCATAATTTACTAGAACTGGAACATTGAAACACTCAATTTAATTCATGTTTCCATGATGAATGAGATGTTTTCATCTTGAAATTGTTGATTATAATCAACAAGATTGACCCAAATCCATAGGTGATTTATTATCATCACTATCATTCAAACTTATGGTAATAAATATGGAGACAAATGAATCAATTGTATTAATTCAACTACTAATGATAACTTGAATCAATTAGAAATAATAGTTTGTCAGATAATCAATTTTGAATAATTTTTCATGAAAGTTCAATAAATTATCTTGAGTGAATGATTGAGATAAAATGAGTTCATCTTGACTCATGTTATTTATCTGGATTTTGTTTTCTCTCATGATAATAACGATTTCCAATCATGATAATGATGTTCAAAGTCAACTCAGATAACATGATGCATTTGAAATTACTCATTGGTAAACAAAGTTTGATACTATCATCAGTTTATTATAATTCATGTGACTTTTCAATACTATTTTCTAGTAACTCTATTGATTTGATGATTAAAATGAGATATCATTTGAAATCGCAGTTTGAATTTAATCATAATACAATTGTAATTCATTATTATCCCTCTGGTAATATCAGAATGATTATTATTAGATGAGAATTCTGATTTTCCGTTGAACATTTTTATAAATTTTATTATCTTTTCATGATTTTTTTATCATGTATCCATCTTACTGATGAGATTATTCCGATAATCAGATGACAATCAGGTTTACCCTTTTTTCTGATGAGATAAGTTTTGTTTCCTCTCAATATTACACAACCAAATCAATTGAAAACAACTCTTGATCTTTGATTTGATTGATTTTATTTCAATCACAATCAGTTATATAACTTTACCCCTTTTACTAGACAAATAGATTCTCACCTTAAAGAATCAATTTTGGGAAAAGTTGTGATTCGAGGAAAGGAAAATAAGATGAACAAGAAGAAGAAAAAAAGATCTTGAAAGTTGATAAGGAAGCAAAATGAACAGGCGGATATAGTCAAAGCTTAAGAAGTTCCGGTTGAAAGTCGGAATTCTCTCTGGGATCTTAAAGAGTACATGTAATCTGATTTTGGGATAAAAAAGAAAGAAAGAATTATTTATAAGATGATGAAGAAGAATAAAATAAATATAAGATGTATAGATGGATAAGGAAGAAGAAGAAATCAGGTGATGGTGACAAGAATCGAAGTAAAAATGAAAAGTTACCTGGAAAAAAAAATGAAAAGAGAAAAAGAGAATATCAAACAATCAAAATTCACCGTTGATGTTATTATATTGATTGTTTTTCTCATCATTTCTACCTGAAGCATATTCTTATTCCTTTAATCTAGTAAATACTCAATTCTATCATGATAATCATGAGATATCATTACCTTTATCATCCCACTGAATGTATGCACAAATATACTAATAAAAAAACAGAAGATTTGAAGACAACATCATTCATCATGTTCCAAGATAACTTGTTATCTGTATTCAGAATATTTCAATTTATCTTTTCCCTTCAGTGTATATTCACCAGGACAACAATGACTTGTTTTACATTATCATTATCATCTTCCTATGGTGATATTTATCTTTCCATGTAACAAATCAAAAATTCCAGGGGAAAATGTTATGTGTATTTTGTTTGAATATATTTCCTAGGTTATAATAATTTTCTTCTTCTCAATCATTGTGATAATGATAACACAATTGTGACTATATTTCATTTTCGTATCCATCAAAACGTATATCATTATTTTCAAATGTTATTTCTTGTATATTCAGAGTATATGGAACTTTTTGTTTTTCTCTTGCAAACTTCAAATTCTCCAGGTTAAATTACAGTTATGTTTGTTTTTGTTTTTTCCAACTTTTTTTGCAACCTTTTTCTTTGCTTCTATGGATTCTCAAGATATATGTATTTACATTATGATATATTGATCATGATCATGATCATGATGAAATTTCAGTTTATTGTTGTAGGTTATTTTCATTTTCATGAGAAGAAAAGTAAATCAAATTTCATTCGTAATGATAACTCAATACAATGTCTCTAAATTTTGATAACATTGGTGATAATCATTTCTAAATGTTGGTTGATTTTGTTTCCTTTTTGATAATAATTAGTTTATATTATCACTTAGTTAATTATTCTGAGCATTTCTTTCAATTAACTTTTTCCTGGTTCAAATCAATGTTATCATTAGATTCTAGATGCACATACGTGTTGTATCAACTTCGAGGAGCAATTAGAAGGTTATATTTAATTTCGTTGGTATTACAATTTCATCTGGATAAAGAGCTTATCCTTTCTGGTGTAAGAAAATAATACTTCATTAATGATTAGGATTTTGTCTGTTTGTCTTTTTTTTTTCTTGGTGAAAAAATTGTTACTTATAGAGGTGGATATGAACTTATCCATCTGAATATCAACAATGTCACTTGGAATCATCCTGATTGATATCATTCATGGGCTATTAAGTTAATGTTTTTCTATCAAGAGCATTTTATCTGGAGTAAATGTTGCATATCATGATTAAAATAAACCTCTTCTTGTCTGAGTGTTTCTTAGAAAGTAATTTTTCTTTGCCATAAGAATTTTCATTTTTTTTCTCAAAGAAATTCAACTTTCACTGTTATTCCGACAGAATTTCATGATTTCGGATGAGAAAACTTTCCTGATAATGATTAAATTGCAGAGCTAATTTATTGCTTCTATTATCGATTGTATTGTGAAGAGGCAATTTTTTATAGACTTTTCTTTTTGTTTGAATCTCTGGTGCAACATTTCATTTACTTTTATCGTTCGCAACAAATTGAGCTAATTTTGTTTTCTTTTTGTTACATTTTTCTTTTAGGCATTCGCCATTTTCTGTGGCATGGGTATTCATAATACGCAAATGTATGAGAAAGCGATGAAAGCAATGGCCAAACAACGTGTTACATTTGAGTGTTTATCTTACCATGCAACATCTCGGCGAGAGGAGGCGATCGCCTTGTCCCGTGAGCCGATTCCGTCAACACAAGCTCTTCGATTGGGTTGCCTTGATTTTCATGATTTCTCATTGGAAAATGACGACAAGATGGTTAAAGCTTGTATACGAATGTTTCTCGATCTTGATCTGATCAATCGTTTCTCTATAGATTATCTAACACTTTGCCGTTGGCTTTTATCAGTTCGTAAAAATTACCGACCCGTTACTTATCACAATTGGCGTCATGCCTTCAATGTGGCCCAGATGATGTTTGCCATTCTAGTATCAACTTCATTATGTAATTCATTGGGTGAACTTGATACACTCGCTTTAATCATGGCCTGTTTATGCCATGATCTAGATCACCGAGGAACCAATAATTCATTTCAAATTAAATCAAGTTCACCTTTGGCAACACTTTATTCAACATCAACTATGGAGCATCATCATTTTGATCAATCTCTTATGATATTAAACTCGGAGGGTAATCAAATCCTTTCCAATCTTTCACCAGCCGAGTATAAACGGGTTGTTCGCGTGATGGAAGAGGCCATTCTAGCAACCGATCTGGTTGTTTATTTCACGAACCGTGAATCTTTTGTCCGTCTAATTGAATCAGGTGATTACCATTGGGATTCTAATGAATCTGATAAGCAGCTACTTCGAGGGATGCTAATGACAGCCTGTGATATCGCCGCAATAACCAAACCATGGGAAGTTCAAAAGGTTGTCGCTGAATTGGTGGCAACCGAATTTTTCCAACAAGGAGACATTGAGAAAGAGAAACTTAATCTACAACCAATCGATATGATGAACCGAGAGAAAAAAGATGAACTTCCTCGTCTTCAGGTTTCATTTATCGATTCAATTTGTTTACCCATTTATTCAGCATTTTCATCTCTCTATCCAACAAGTTTATCACCTTTACGACAAGGAGTGATCACGAATAAACGAAATTGGCTGTACCAAGCACTCGAACATCCAAGTCTAAAAGATTGGGCTCTGGAAGAAATGGAAAAATTGGAAAAATCAGATCAACCCCTCATTGGAAACGATGAAATCGAAAATATTGATTAAATCAAATAGAGAAAAAAAATATCATCAGAATATAAATGGAATCCCTTGTATCTTATTATCTGTTCCTAATCCAGGACAATGTTATCATGATATCGTTACTCTTATGTATTATATTGATTCTTAATTGTATCTGTTTACAGTTTTAAACATTTGATTGGAAAGGTAGATTTTTCTTTCCATATCGAATAATATTTATCGAGAATTGGACAAATTGGTAAATTTCGCAAAAAAAAAGAAAACGATGAAGCAATTTACACGGAAATTTATCTGATTACGATAAATTCATTTATTCAGAAAAATGAATTGATTTTAATCAAGTTATCATCTCAATATTATTATTATTGTAATATCATAAATCATCATTGAAATTAATTCATCATCATCATTATTACTATTATATAAAATTCATTGATTATGTATTATGTTTACAACCAAAATACATCAACATATGCACCACTTTTAAACACTCGTTTTCCTCTTAATTGTTACAGTTAATTTTTTTCTAATTTCTAATTGTTATCATTATAATAGTTAACAATCATTTCCTTTGAATTGAAACAAAAAAAGTTCTAGTCTTTGATTTATCAATAACTTTTTTCCTTACAAATTAATATGTAATTAAACCAGTGAATGGAATAGTTTTTATTTTCTATTTCAAGAAAAATTTCTTAATCCAATTATTAGATAATTAAAAGAATTAATTGAAAAATTTAAAAAAACGAAAAATTTTCCATTCGAAATGATGAAAAAAAAGTTAACTACGTTTAGTTGTTTTCGTTGCCAATAGATGGCAACAGTTGTTTCGAAACAATTTTCAAGTGAGACAAGTTTTGTTTTTCTCAAAGAAAAAGATTAATATTTGCTCACTAATCGTAATTATCACAATCAACTCATTCAGTTGTTGTAATTTCTGTAATCTTGTTATTGATAAATCGTCAGTCAACTGGTTTGTCGGATTTATAATTTGATTCTCTGATTGTGAAATGTGAATGGAAGTGACAAATTAAAAGATCGATAAATTAACCAAAAAATCATCATGGTTGTTTCTGAGAACAACAAATCACCTTCTCACTTGATCAATCTATTTAATCATCACCATTCAACGATATCTTCATCTTCATCATCTTCAACCACCTCACCATCATCATTAACAGTTCCTCGTTCAAATGATTCCAGTTTATTTAATAACAATAATTGTATCGGGAGAAAAGTTCTCGGTGTTATATTGATCGATGAAAGGATGTTAATCCGTCACATTTTCGGTGGTCCAGTTAACAGTGGTCACTCATTTTCATCACCAAATGATCTGATTGATTTGGAGTACAAAAATTATCTTCTCTTAGGATCTATCGTAGTGGACAGAGAGATGATGTCCATTGATGAACTGCGAAGATTAATTTCTGATCAAATAGCAAATCTACCCAAAAGTTATGCTTTCTTCAGTAAAGAAGGGTAAATCTAATTTTCTTTCACCATCACCACAAGACTGTTTATCCATTGAAAGTGAAACAATTAACTTAATCATCATGTTTAGTAGTTGTTTCAATCTTTAAGATGATCTCTAATCATCAATATTGATTGCTCTTAATCTGCCCTACTAATAATAAGAATGTCAATCATCACGAGTACCAGTTCCGTCTCACTAATCAATGTAAAGTCATTCGTTGTTGTTGTTGTTGTTTAATTTGAGGTCAACAATTTATTTTTAACCTTCACCAATGACCGGGTATTCCCTCTCTCTCTCTCTCTCTCTTTCTCTCTCGTTAATTTCAATTTGCCCTGAAGCAATTTAGCTGAAATAATTAACTTAAACGCTATTATATTTTACCGCAGTACAATCAATAGACTAATTCAGTATTTAACTTTTCTTACTTGTTGCTTTAGTTGATTGTTAATTGTAAATCATTTAAGATGAATGTTTTTTAGCTAATTAGTTTTAATTGATTACTATCATCATCAGAGGTTTAACTAAATCATTTACAGTTTACATTGAACTTTTTTAATAGTAAATTTGGTTAATTGTTAATTGTTGTTGGCTGATTTTTATAAATAGATAATCAATTGATAAAAATACACATTTTCACACAAATTAACTTTCAATTGAAACAAATATCTGTTTACTTGATTAACTAAATTTTGTTTTATTGAAATATGATCAACTCTTTTAATTGTATTCACCAGTATTGTTTGACAATTTAATATTAATTTAGTTCAGATAAGATGACTTTTTGTTTCTACTGAATTTCATTTGATTATTATAATAAAATCTAATTTAACAATCAACCTCCACGATGATAATTAATGTTTCATGTAAATATCAATCTGATTGTTATTTAATTGTTAACACACAAATCATATTACTTTCTCTATCTAAATTGTATTAATTGTTACACAAGTGATTCTCAAACAATCAACCTAATTATTTATTTCTTACAATTTCATCTAGTTGGCCATTAACTAAATCACAAGAAACCCAATTGAAATTATGTAACCTGATAAACAAGAGGAGTCTTGTTTGCATAAGAAAAGTTTATGGTAAGTTAATTGTTACTAATTTAGTTTACAAATTCACAATTAACATTGGCTAATGTGTTTATCTCTGTGTCTATGTGTCTAAGTGTTTATATATGAGGCTTGAAGGCATCATTGATATACATGAGATAAAAATAATTAACAGAATTGATTCCGATCGTTATAAATATTTATGCTTTTATTTGATTCTGGTTTACTTTTCAGAGTAATCAAGGTTACAATTAACTAACTAATATGACAGTAAATACTTTTTTTTAATCATGATAATAATAAAGCCAAGTTCTTTCAATAATTAATTACAATTAATCATTATTGTTGTTACTTGCTCTCAATGAGCACAAGCAATTTAATAGTTTACATTTGATTTTTATCAATTATCAATATTGCTTTTACTCAGATAATTATCTGGACGATTGAAATGATTAATTTAAATTTAAATTGCTGTTAAATTGTTACAGATAAGCCAAGAATTGGTGTTCTTACTGATTCTAATGAATATCTTGGTTCATTGTTTACCACTTACGATTGTACATTAAGTGACCTACGAAGAGCCCTGGACGATGTACTTCGAGATTCTGAGAGTAACATTTCCAATAATCATAATAAATTATCCAAACTGATTGATTATCGTTTTATTGACCGTAATGAATGGCCTGTCCTGCGATCTCATGAAGACCAGTTAACACTTTTAGACGTTCTGGTTAACAAAATGTTCACATTCGACCAAATTTAAGTAGCTCATTTTCATCCTCGTGTCCAGCGATTAAAGAAGCTCGAGAAGGGACAAATATGATCCTTGATGGCGATGGAAAATCAACTCATAAGCAGATCACGACGACTCCTTCGTCCACCGAGGATCGTATGGATGGATGGAAGGTGGATACATGGCGGAGAAGTTCAAAAAAACGAAACATCATGTAAGAGAATAATGAATGATTTATAAAAGAATTGAAATTATATTCGATTTCTCTTCTTCTTCTTCTTCTTTTTCCACCATCACCATTAGTTGACCTTCCTTTGTTTTCTTCTTATCCTTTTATTATCGTCACATATTCAATAATCAATTCCATTATCATTTCATTTCCAATTCCAATTGAATTGAAATTGTTTTGTTTTCTTTGTTTTTCGTTTTTTAATTTTTCTTTTTTCTTTTTTGCGAAAGAAAAAATTTACCCGCCATTACCTTGTTTGAATTTCCTTCTACCCTCTACCTCACCCATTCGCAATTTTCCCTTAATTTTCTCTGAGTGTATTTTAAGCTAATCAAACTAATCAATTCTTTTCCCTGAAGACCCTTTTCCCTTCAATAATCAATCCACATGCAAGGTTAGCCGGAAATTCAAGGTTACATTGTTACATAGACAATGATGAGGATAATAAGTAATCAGCTCTCTCTCTCTCTCTCTCTCTCTCTCTTTGATGTATTTTACTTGTATTAGATGCGAGAGAATAAGAAGAAGATTTTGATAATCATGAAGAGGAAAAGTTGATGAAATTGATTGTAATGTATACACACACGGGAATTTACAATTACAAAGTAAATTTGTGAGTGTAAACTGAGAAAAACCAATGAAACCTGATGTTGGAACCAGAATATTTGAACACTAAGTAACTATTATCATTTATAATACATGAGTTAACCCCAATGCAGATTGATGATTGACGTTTACCTATTGTTATGAATGGCTCCCAATATGATGTTCATTACTTTGAAAATCAGAAAATAGTACAAATTATTGAGTAACATAATGAGAGAGCCAGTGAGAGAGAAGAGAGAGAGAGAGATCAGCCAGCTCATCATAGATCTCAATCTACCTGATTCGGGTTTTCCAGTGAGAGTCATGCCAAGCTCGTCACTGGAATGATTAACTGATCCTAAAATTTTCTGCAACAGGTTAACAAAAGTTCATAGAGAGTTTCATTCAATGTACCTTCCTGTTCATCTCGCAATTCACTTGGAAAATTTGATCACCATGAATTAAATGTTGAGTGATAATTACATGATAACAATTTGCATCAGCAAATGATGATAAAGATGAAGACAAGGCATCAACAATCTACTCCATATTTACCTAAATTCACTCCCCTTCCTCCCCTCTCCCACCCTTTTACCTGTTCACTATTAGCCCCTCAGGCCATTCACACTCATTCAATGACTTAAAACTGCAATTTACCAAAAAATAATCTCCAATTAGTTATCAGTGCATTTGAAATGCTTCCGAGTTTAACCTGAAACATTTTACAAGAAAAAACTTTTTTCCTAATGATTGTAAGTTAATTGTTGCTAATCAAGGTAACAATCATATTCTCTCTCTTATTATTTAAGGTCTTTGATTTTAACTAATTAAAAGCAACTTCACTTTCATCCTTGAAATAATATCCTCTTTTTGCATCTTCATCTTCATCATCATTCTTAAAAACGATGATGATAATCAGTTATCAATTTCATCTTGTACTCTAATTATTGAACATCATTTAGCTAATTGTCACCATAATCATTTTAATATGTTGTCAATAATCTTGAAACAATTTAATACTAATCAGTCTCTCTAAATTGTATGCACTCTACAATTTGAATAGCCTGATAATCATTATTATTATCAAATAGTAAATATTAATTCAAACCATCATGAGTAATAGTAAATTGTTTAGTTGATTAATGTTTGTTAATTACTTTCATGATTAAGATTAGTGATTAAACTTTGTTAATTATTATCTAGTCAAAAGATTTTGTATCCTCCTAATTACTATTAAATTTAGTCATTAACGGAAGTCACCTTACAGTTAATTGTTGAAATTGTGGTTCAATTGATTGATTAATTGTTATCAGGAGTAATTTGATATTAATATTTAAGATTTATCATTAAATTATCATGAGAATCATCAATAAACACAATTAACTTTTTAATTGTTCACAATAAATCATTTGATTTGCTTTAAAGTATCGATACAATTTTTTTCTGCCTGTTAATTGTTGTTGATATTTTCCATATCCTTTGATTTAATTGTAATCATAGTGTTTACAATTATTGACATAATTGTAAATTAACCTTGACAATTAAAATGATTACCGTAAAAAAAACGGAAGAGATGAAAAAATGAATCAGATAATTACAATTAAAGCCACAAAACAATTTGATATGAATTTTTTACAACAATTTAACTGAAAATCAAGCAGGTAACCTATGTAATTATGATTATCTAAATTGTAACAAAATCACCTTGGTTACAATTAGTGATTAATCAATCAGCAATGATTTATGTTCACCGAGCATTAAAAATCAGACACAATATTTAATTATCATTAAAGATTAGGACTAAATCCTAAATTAATTCAGATATCGATAGTTGAATTGATTGTTGATTGTAAGTGAGAAGAAAAAACAAAATTAACTTAATGATATTAATTGTAATCAAGTTATAATCATTTGTTATGATGGTTAACTAGAGACACTCTTGATTGTTGTTATTATCGTTTTTGTAATTGATTAACAACAATTTAATTAATTACTGAGAAACAAAAGAGACAATTATCTTGATTAACTTGATTCATTATTTATTTGAAGCATCTCTTCAATTGGTATTACAATTTATTCAATATCATATTCAACAATTAACTTAAGTCAGTTAGTGGAATGAGTTGATTAAGTGGTGATAACTGATTCTGGTTAATGATAAATAGCGTTAATTATGTTAAATTTATCAATGAAAAGTAGACTAATTAAGATTGATGAGAATGAATTTTAATTAAGTTTCGAATTTTTTTCCCACTTGTTTTTTAATGTATTGATATAGACGGCGAACAACGTTCCGACGAAATCGACCTATGGTCGAGGTTAAGGCCAGTAAGAAAAACAAGACCACGGGTAAAACGATAATGATCAGTTATTGTCGGCAAGAAGCTTATCAATATGCGATTGACCTGAAAGCGGAATTAGTTTCTAACGGGTATTCAGTTTACTTGGATAAAGATGAGATACGAACGGGAACCGATTGGGCTGACGATCTAAACGAAGCGGTAAAAAACTGTGAAGTTTTCATTCCCTTGATAACACAACTTTACGGTCGAACCCAGTGGACCAACCGTGAGGTCAAATTAGCCGATCTTTTGAATAAGAAGATCATTCCGATCAATTTTCTTGACCATTGGCCACCTGAATGTTTGGCCATACAATTTGCGACCATGCAATGTAAACCCTGGAGACCGGTTGATGTTGATTTCACGCTGGCACAAAACGGAATGGAGAATGATAAAATGTTCTGGCCTCGACCTTGGTTAAAAGCTCTGGTCAAGGAGATTTGTAAAGAGATACCAAGAGACACCGAGTCAACCAGTTTACCAAGCGAACCCACTGACACCAAATTGATCGCCATCTCTGCCCACCCCACCCAAGCCAATCTGGTGAATAAGATAAAAACTTACCTTGAACAACACGATCTACACATTTGGACTTCCATTGAAATAGCGGAAGAATGTGACCTTACCCCGATGACACCTTCGTGTTTACCAACAATCGAAGAAGGTGTCAACGAGTGTAGTTTCAATGAAGCTCGATGGACCCACGATACTCACGGTGGACGTAACAAGAGGCCAGTTTCCCTTCCCGTCGATCCCAACATTGATTTTGCTCATAAAAAGAAACCCGTTCAACGACAAACCTCAACCGTCTCTACTTTGGCCACAATTGGACCCGAAAAGTTGGAAAAGTTTAAAGAATTTCACTCAAAGGTTCGAAACGCCGGTGCGGTCATCATAATAGCCTCAAAAGCTTATTTCAATTCGAAAACTTCTCAGCAACATGTTTACTATTGTGAACAACGAAAACCAATGATTCTGGTTCGAGCTGAGGACGTTTCGCCTCCTCCATGGTTTAGTAATTTTCGAGGAGATGAACTTCCATTGGTAAGAATTATCTTCCTAATCATCCTCATCCTCTTCCTCTCCATCATCTTTATCATCCATTTTCTAACCAAATCAATCATCAATCATCTTAATTTCAATTGTATTCCTAAAATTTGTACATTGGACTTAATGATTACCATTGATGAACAAAACTTTTTATTAGTAAATTATTATTACAATTCTGATAATCATTAATCATCATGTTTGTCTATTTCCTCAATTACATTGTTTCATTCAATTATTATTACCTTTTATTACCTTAGTCTTTCAACCATCATAATCAACACTATTTGCCGACTTGAACTAATTGTTGTTACAATTAGAATCTCAATATCTCTTAATGAAAATTAGACCAAGTATTAGTTGATATTGATCATCTTAAGCAAAGTAATTGACAATCGTAACAATTTAATTTCAAATTGTGATTCACTTACAATCTGTTAACTGTAACTATTGATATTAATATAAAAATCACATTGATTGTTAAATGTTACACTTTAATTGCATTTATGGTAAATACTAAATCAAATTACCGCTAAAAATTTCCCATATGATTGTGATTTCAATTATGATTATCAATGAGTTTTATGTCAACAATTAACTTTCCATCTCTTTGTTTACATTTTCATTATATTGATATTATTTGTATTCTAATAATCAATTGAATTTTCTTGTTTCTAAATTGATAGGATGTCGATAATCCTTGTTTTCTAGATGTACTTAAAGGACGAATCAATCGGATTCTTGACCCTTGCGCTAAAACCGATGCATGGGAACTTCAAGAGGCCAAAATTCAATATCTTCTCAATTATATGAAGAAAAATTTACCTGATTTAGATACCTGTGTATATATTATCGGCTCTACGAGTGTTACCTGTCCGCGAACTGAGTCAATCTGTAAAGCGGTCGGTAAAGAATTGACCAAAGTAGATGGACTAACGGTGGTCACTTGCGGCTTTTACGGGGCAAGTCACTTGTTGGCCCAATCGTTTTTCGACGAAAAAGGAAAACGAGACGCACCTCGAAATCGCAAAGCTTATACTAATCAATTCCAATCATCAGTTGTCCATGTTTTACCTTTAAAAGATTCTTGTGTAAGTAAATCAATCTAATTGTGAATACAAATTGAAACTGATTCATTTCAATTGTTTGATAATCATGGAAAACAAAACTACTCGATCAGTGTGATAATTGTTTATCAATGATAAGCTGAGTTCATATGATGATGACAATTTTCCGAATCACATCATCAATTTAAATGAGAATAATGATTAATATCAACAAACGAAAAAATTGAATTGATTGATTTCCTCGTGTTGATTAATTGAATTGTTTTCTTTTTCTCTCTTTCTCAGGATTTTAGTAAACAAAGTAAACAACTTGACGATGGATCATTTGAATCACTTTCCTATGGAGAAACTTTATTTTTAGGTGAATCAATGAAGGAAAGAGACACCGCAATCGCCCGACTATTGGATACCTGTATTCTGATTGAGGGTGGACCGGAAGCAGCTCATGAAGCTCAAGAGTTTATCTGGAATGATCATTACGTCATACCGATTAGTAGTACAGGTGAGTTATCGTAAAGGTGAATTACTAGAAACAAGAATTACCTCAATTTAGTATCATTACTATTGTAATAGATTTTTATGAGTTTCCCATTGATGAATCAAATTTATCGGTTAAATTTTGTTCCGTCATCATCATCATTGGCCCATTGTAAATATAATACAATCATTATTATCAACGTAAAGTGTAATCGAGACAAATTTACCTCTACTTTTGTTGATTTATCGATACAATCAATCAATTAATTTTAATTCTCTTTCTATTGTTGATATTGTTGCTTTCGTATTCAACTAGGAGGTGCAGCATCCGGTAAATATTTCACACCGAGGAAAGTGTTTGACAAGCCTCATGTTGTCGATCAAGGTGATTGGAAAATGTTGGAAGATATCGATGCAACTCCCGAAGAAGTGGCTCAAACAACCGTTCAGATCATCATGAAGATCAAAGAATCAATTTCGCTTCAACGACAAGTTCAAAATGCTACGAAAACCAAAGCAAAAGGAAGATCATTTAGACGAACAATTAATAAAACGGAAAAGGTTGAAAACGATGCTACCTTAATTAGTAAAAAGATAATCGCTAATGAAGAGGAAACATCGAAAAAAGTTTTACCGGTTAAGACAAATTTATCTATGGAAAAGGAGAAAAGTCGATGGAGTAAATTTTCCAATTTTATCAGTTTCGCTTCTCAAAGATGTTGATTGAGGAAGAATCAACAATTCTGAGGACAATTAGTTGATAAATTGATTGGAAAATCAATTGATTTTCTTGGTATATCAGTTACTTTCTCTCTCTCTTTCTTTTCCAGACAAATGGAGACTGGAAATTATTCTGATTGAATTGAGTTAATCAAAAATCAATTTCAAATTTATAAACCATCTTGATAATCCAATTATATTTTCATTCATGTTAACAATCAACTTAATCACAATTGTTAATCAGTTGAAAAGATCATTCAACGATCTGATGTGTTCACTTGAAATTAACCCTCAAGCCTGGAAAATTGTAATCAGATAAATTGTAAATTTGATTAACTACTTTACAAATTGATTCCCCATTGTAAAAGCCTCTATTTTTAACAAAGAGAAAAAGTAGAAATTTAAACAATTAGTTGTAATTAAATGTTATAAATGAAAATTAGAAGAAAAAAAAATCTAATTGATCAATTGTCTCATGTTCATCTCTAACAGTAAAAAAGTAAAATTTGCTTGATTTGGATGGTTAAATCTCTGTAAACAATCAGACTAGATAAACTCTAATTAATCATCTCTCTAAATCCTTGGAAAATTGTAATCTGTATGATTAGGTAAACTTCCAGTAGATTTGGGAAAGTTTATAATTACATATTGATGATTATAATTCCCTGATTATTGTTACAATTTACCAACATGGCAGGAGATTAGTGTGAGTTGAATAAATCACGAGTATTATAATAAAACAATTTAGTTCTCGATGTGATTATTGAGATTGTCTTCTCATTTAGAAAGTGTTTGGTGACAAATTGTAACGATAAAAATCTTAAAGTGAAAAATACTGAGGAGAGAGAGAGAGAGAGAGAGAGATGAGTTAATCTGAGATTCAGTTGTGGTAGATGATTTGGATTAAGAGAATTGAATTTCAAATGTACACCCTGCATTTATTTGATCATTAAGGTTGATCAAACCGCGAATGATGAAATAATTGATTCGGTTTTCGCAGGGACATAATTCATTTGATGGTATCAATTTAACTTTATTACCAATTACAAGATGTCTTAGGGATTTCCTGGTGGTTAAGCTGCTTCTTCTTCATCTTCTTCGTTATTAATTTGGAAGTATTTAAGTTCATACGTATCCTTAGCAGAAGAAACTACTCTTAACCAATCTCTAAGATTATTTTTCTTCAAATACTTTTTAGACAAATATTTGAGATAACGTTTAGAAAATGGGATCTCGGTTGTTACAATAATCTTGGATTTATTCCTTTCAATGACCACGCTGTTTTGTAAGTTACCAGTTTTACCATTAACTTTGATTCTTTCATGAAGATATTTTTCCTGTAAATGAGAATAAAAATAAAAATAAATTATCACAAAGAATTAACCATAAGATTAAAAGGAGAATAACAAAATGTCCAGGATGAGACTTAAAATGTTGATAGAAAAAGAGGAAACTGTCTCTTAACCGATCACTTCAAAATATTGACAATCAAGTAGTGCATGGAAATGGTTCAAGAAATTTTAATCTTCGAGAATTAAATAGCATTCCTTGAGTCAGAAAGAATCTCAAGAAACGCACCAACCCTCGGGGATGATAAACCAAAAGTAAAAAATGAAAAACTTGAAACAAAATCAGTAATAGATGGACCCTAATAAAAATGGCTGACAACGTGTAACAATATGTACTTACGAAATCGGTAGCATTAAGAATACCATCTTCTTGTGGTCTACTACAGTCCAAGATAAATTTACATTGTACCCTCTTCTTTTTACCACCTTTAGAGGCTACTTTAGATTTACTTGGTGCCTTTTTTGTAAGAGCAGTGGCAGCGCCTTCGGTTTTAACTTTGGTCTTAGTTACCTAAACAAAATAAGAAAAAAACGAAAGAGATGAGCAAACGAGACACAGTAAAAAAACCATCACAATCAAATCGAAATCAAGACAAATCGAACAATTTACACATCAGGACACTAGAAACTACGAAAATTAAATACTTACAACCATTTTAAATTAAATTTAATAGCAATTAGATTAATTATAACTTCATAAAATTTACAGGCAATATAATTGATCAAGAAATCTCAATACCAAAGGGAAGCGGAAACAACTTTTCAGAAGAATAAAAAACCGAATGAAAAGCGACACCAAACAGAAGAAAAAGAAATTAAGTTAACCCGGTAAATTTAGAAAATATTCCAACATCGATAATCTTTAATTATCTTTTTTTCTATTGATTAGAGGAAATAAATGATTTGTGATCATTTAATTTCCTCTTTCAAACTAATTAATATTTTCCAATAGAAGTTTAAATTACAAATAGAAACTGATTTGTTTTCTATTCTTTTTTAACTTTATAAGAAAAAGAATTTTAGTCTACTAGCGACACCTTGTGATCGTTTTGTTCGTTATTCTTTTCTTGAGTTGATTGTTATTCATTTTGAATTTTATGTTTAAGGAAAATTAATTCTAATTGTTGTTAATTGTTTTACTTTGTTTTGTTTATCTAATGAAGGATTTAGTGATTTCAATTTCTTCGTCGTCGATTGAATTGATTCTGTTATCAGTAACACGTTCAGTGTTTGAGTTTTCCTTCAAGTGATTTTATCAATTTGATTTTATCCTTTGATTAACCTTCACTTTGATTATTTTGGTTAATTGTTATTCTGTTGCTGTTTTTTAGATTTTTGCTAATTGCTGGCAATTAGATCTTATTCTAATGGTCAATTTGATCGTTTCTGGCTATCGGTTTTAACTACGCATGGTGTTAATTATCAGCTGATGTTCATTTGTTGTCATTTTATTTTCTACTCTTGTTTGTATTGAGTATAAATTTTAATTCCCCTTTTTTTTGAATTGTTTTTCTTGTCCTTGTGTTTTAATTATGTTATTAGTCAATTCCAGGACTGGTTGTTTTGCCAAATGTACTATTCTGCAACAAAAGATCACTCCAATAGCTTCAGAGTATTTACAAATCATCCGAAAGGAATCAACATCTAGTCAATCATCATCATCAACTCATTCTCGTTTGGAAAAGCTTAGAGAACAATTAAAAGCTGAAAATTTATCAATTTCTAATTCAACTGTTAATGTGAATCCTACCAAAAGAAATCATGTTCGACTTCCATCATGGTTAAAGCAAAAAATTCCAATTGGAAGTAATTACAATCGTTTGAAAGACAATTTGAGATCGTTAAACTTACACACCGTTTGTGAAGAAGCCAAATGTCCAAATATTGGTGAATGTTGGAATGGCGGAGAAAACAATACACCAACTGCAACAATTATGCTTCTCGGCGATACTTGTACCCGTGGATGTCGATTCTGTTCAGTAAAAACCTCCCGAAAACCTCCTCCACCTGATCCAAATGAACCTTATAATACAGCAAAGGCGATTTCCCAATGGTCTCTAGGTTATGTTGTCCTTACCTCGGTTGATCGAGATGATTTACCGGACGGAGGATCTAAACATTTTGCTGAAACTGTTAAATTAACCAAGCAAATGATGCCCTCACTGTACATTGAATGTTTAACCCCTGATTTCCGAGGTGATTTAGATGCAGTTGAAAGAGTTGCCCTGTCAGGACTTGATGTTTATGCTCATAATTTGGAGACAGTAAGAGAATTACAAAAATCGGTTCGTGATCACCGAGCTAATTATGACCAATCAATGACGGTACTTAAGCACGCAAAACAGGTAACTATTAAACTGATAAAATTTCTCAGAAATTCTAAAACTGCAACTTATATTATTCAAGGTTCGTCGTGAATCTGGTAACCTGTGATAACAAAAACATCGTTAATGTTGGGACTTGGAGAGACGGACGATGAAGTTAAATCAGTTCTAGACGATTTAAGGACTAACGAAGTGGATGTGGTAACTTTTGGACAATACATGCAACCAACAAAGAGACACCTAAAAGTGGTCACCCATGTAGAACCTGAGAAATTTCAATTCTGGGAAGATTATTCAAAGAAATTAGGATTTCTCTATGTAGCCAGTGGCCCATTAGTCCGATCATCATACAAGGCTGGTGAATTTTTCATCAAAAACATCCTTGATAAACAAAGAAACAACCACAAAGGCCAATAACAATCAACAAAGAAATCAAAACAACTATTTTCCTTAAAAATCATCACCTAATAATTATATCATGATAACAAACAGCAAACCATTACTAGGAAATTCACTATACGATTAATTTACAGTACTAGTTAATCTAATTAACTTTCTCTTGTCTACCATTAACCTTGTCCTCTTCATCATCTCTATTAGACAACTTAATCAGTGACAATGATTGAAAATATCACCCCAATTGTGTGTGTGTTTAAATTTTTCACCCCATAAATTAGTTAACTATCATTTGCTGTTTGTTTATTGATGCTAATTAATACAAAGTGATATTTAACAAACCCTAAATGATTAATTGTAATGTAATACATGTTGTTATTTTCATTGTATTGTTGCAAATAAGAGATTTATAACAACAAGAAAAGGAAACGTCCATTGTGATAATTGAATTTCCTGAATTACATTTACACCCAGCGATTATATTACAATACAAAAGACAAGGAATCAAGAAGGAGACAAATCAAAGATATTAACCAACTAATCAAAGACTCTCTCTCTCTCTATCTCCTGTTGATCAACTAATTCATTTAAAAAGATGAACTCTCCCAAAATGGATAAAAGATGAAAGATAAATCAAAACAAATTGAACAAATGATTAAGCCTTAATTGTCCATCGAAATCAATTGGTGTTAAATCGTATTTCAAGTACAACAATAATCACCCATTATCCTGTAAATTAAATTCAAGAAGCTGATTAGTTTTGGATCTAAATTGATGATTTATCATCAATACACACTCACTAATCGTATCATCATCAACATAATCATCAAATTACACGAATCAAGTCAAGGAGTTAAGAAAGGAACCCAAAAAGAAACTAATGTAAAGAATATGTTGACGGAGAGAGAAATAAGAAGAAGAAAAAAGAGATTCAAGAATTTCATCCATGGATAAAGTGAATTATCTCTCGGAAGATAATGATTATAATTTCAACATTTTCTCATCATCAATGGAAGAGGAAAAGAGGGAGAAAATTACAAGAAGATTACACGAATACAAAGATATATATGATTCCATTAATCTATGGAAGGAAAAGAAATACTCAAATGGTTAAATATTGCTCTTGAATTTATCATCATTTTTTTTCCTATGGAATAAAAAATATACACAATATTATGTATCCATAGGAATGAGAGGAAAGTATTACAAGTAATCAAATTTAACAGGCCTTATACTCTATCAAACCATAGGAAAAATAAGGAAAATTAATCCAAATAAATTGACACCAACACACCATTAACATGGGGAATCTCATCATCCACCTTCACATTGTAATCTTAAGCTTCCACCTTGATGCTCATCATTGTGACTATCAAAGTAGCAATAGTTTACATCTAAATGATGTTACGATCTATTGAAAGTAATTCTTTTACCTTTATAACTTTCCAATATATTAGAGAGAAAGAGGTGGATGATGATGAGAATCAGGATGATAGAGTAGAAGAGAGAGAGAGAGAGATGATTATACCTGGAATCGATTGAGGAGACTACTGAAAAAAAGAAAAGGAGATAAAAAAGTGATGCAGAAGAAAAAAAGAGTAATAAGTCAAAAGAGAGAAGAAGATGAAAAGGAAGAAAGAAAGATGAAGATGAAGACGAAGACGAAGAAAAAGACTGGAAAAGATCAATGGTGGAAACTGAGGAGGGTGAGAATCACTGAATTCGCTTCAATTTCCACCGTAACCTTTTCGTTTTCTTATTGGCTTCTATTCAGAGACTTAAACATCTTCTTATTCATCTCTCTTTCTTTCTCTCTCTCTTCTCCATCATCCACCTCCTCTTTCATCATCTTCTATTTTATTTTCATTATCTCATCATCAACTTCATCTTCTCCTCTTTTTTTATCTCACATTGTGTATCTCCAATACACAAGAAGTGATGATATTGATGGTGATGATGATGATGAGAAAAAAAAGAAGAAAAAAAATTAAAAGATGAGGAAAAAGAGAAAGAAAGAGAAAAGCAAAGATTCAGATGATTCTGATAATAATCATGATAATGATTCTTATGATTTCAATGAATTAGATGAAAAGGAAAGAATCAAGCGAAAAAGTCATTTATCCATTGACATACTCATTTGTCCTTCATCCTTTTCATTGTCAACATTAACAATCAACTAACATTCATCTTCGTATATATATTTATATAATAGATTGTATAACTTACCACAAAACTGAAAAGATCAAATCATTACCCTGAAAATCTTATTCAATCTTCACCATTTACCCTGTTTATCCTCCTTCTCATCCACCAAGTTCTCTCTCTCTCTCTCTCACTGTCCACTATCTTTGTCCATTTCATCTTAACGATGATAACCTAATCTTTTTAAATATCAACATCCAATTGTTGGAACATAATTGATGAGGATTCTTAATTTACCTGACAGAAGTGAAACCCAATCAAGAAGTAAATATAAACAATGACCCGGTAAAGATGACAAAGATGATTCCAATCATGATGATACCCATGATGGTTATTAGGATGACGATGATGATAATGGCGATACTTTCTGCTTTTCTTTGGTTAAAATGAAGATGGTTCAAAGCAAAGTCCAGACAAATCCGGAAATATCTCATTTCAAATGATCAAACAGCATCAGGATTCTGAATGGGAAGAAGGAAATTTCATCTTCATCCTTTATCATTCTCATCCAGTTCACACTAAGAATCCTGAAAGGCCGAAGAAAAAAAATAAGAAAGAGAATAAAAGAAGATGAGGAAAAAAAACATTTTCGATGGATAACATTGATTCTCAAGGATCTTAAAGATGATGTTAGGAGGATGAAGATGATCAGGATGAAGAAAAGGGAATGATAAAAAAGGAGGAACAGGACAATCAACTAGATTAATCTCTTCTCTCTCTCTCTCACTGTCCACTATCTTTGTCCATTTCATCTTAACGATGATAACCTAATCTTTTTAAATATCAACATCCAATTGTTGGAACATAATTGATGAGGATTCTTAATTTACCTGACAGAAGTGAAACCCAATCAAGAAGTAAATATAAACAATGACCCGGTAAAGATGACAAAGATGATTCCAATCATGATGATACCCATGATGGTTATTAGGATGACGATGATGATAATGGCGATACTTTCTGCTTTTCTTTGGTTAAAATGAAGATGGTTCAAAGCAAAGTCCAGACAAATCCGGAAATATCTCATTTCAAATGATCAAACAGCATCAGGATTCTGAATGGGAAGAAGGAAATTTCATCTTCATCCTTTATCATTCTCATCCAGTTCACACTAAGAATCCTGAAAGGCCGAAGAAAAAAAATAAGAAAGAGAATAAAAGAAGATGAGGAAAAAAAACATTTTCGATGGATAACATTGATTCTCAAGGATCTTAAAGATGATGTTAGGAGGATGAAGATGATCAGGATGAAGAAAAGGGAATGATAAAAAAGGAGGAACAGGACAATCAACTAGATTAATCTCTTCTCTCTCTCTCTCTCTTCTTTTCTTTCATTTTTATCTTCATCTTCTTTCTCATTCGTTTTCATCGATATATCGATTAAATTCATCCTCAAAATTAACTTTTTTCTTACTCTTTCCAATTCCTTGACATTAACCATCGAGAGAGAGAGAAAGGATCAATTCTCAGAGTCTTTTTGTCACCAAGAGAGAAAGAGAGAGAGAGATGAAAAATATAAACTTCGATCTGTTATTATCAATAAGATGAACAATTTTCATCATCCTCTTTTTTCATCATCATCTTTAAATCTCTTTCTTACTTTAGCCTTTTTGTTTTTATCTTCATCATCATTTCCGTTTCAATGGCGATTGGCAAAAATAATAATCAAATAAATAACCAATAACCTGACAAATACAAGTATATTATCAACATTATCCACCTTCACCTCATCATCATCATCATCATCATCAGTAAGAAAATACCAAATTTGTTGACCTGAAAGAAAAAAGAATAAAACAAAAAAAAAGAGACAAAAAATTCTGATGATAACGGTAAAATCGACAATATGAACCATTGAGAAAATTGAGAGAAAAAAAAAGTTAGATGAAAATGTTGATAGAACGAAAAATTGACGATAATTCTGCATGAAGAATATCAATTGATAAAGATGAGGATAAAATGTGTTTTAGGTCATCATTTAATTGGTTACCATGATTCTGATGATGATCATGTTGATGATCATCAATCTGATCGCGAAGAGGAAGAAGATGAAGATGAAGATGAAGAAGAAAAAAGAAAAGGGTAAAATCTCATTTATCAATAGTTCTTACAAAAGAGATTCAGATCAATACCAACAGAATCTTATTAATCATTAGCTTTACAAGAATTAAGAATCAAGTAAAAACCATTAAGATCCTGTGTCAATTTCTGCTTCCTCCCTCATCTTCATCATCCAAACACTGTGAACATCGATATCATGTCTTCCTCTTCCTCCTCCTCCCACCGTCACTACCATCACCACCATCTCCTCCTCATCCTCATCCTTATCTCCATCCTCATCCTACTCCTCTTTCAAATTAACCCTCCGGTGATACTTTCACTTTTTGAATTATCATTTATTGCTAATATTTATTACCATTCATTGTTGCCTCACAATAATTATCAACAATTAATCAACTTAATTATCCGCCCAAATATTGATTTAACCTTAATCATCAATCCATTGATCTGCTAACAATTGGCTAATAATAATAATATAAAAACAATAGAGAAAAAAAAATAAAATGAAAATTAATTGTTTCAAATAAAATCAATATTTTCAATTATAAAACTTATATTGATTTAATCATTAGTATCAATAGTTAGTAAATTGTTGTTGTTGTTGTTATTATTATTTTATATATCCAATTGCTCACAAGAAATATAATTATTATTTAAAATTAATCCAGTTCCTGATAATCAACAATTTAGTTTGTTTTTCTCGTTTTAATTGTAAACTTAATTGTTTAATCAACGAATCCAATCAATAATAATCATTAACCTGGAGAATAATAAAAATAAAATAAAATAAACTTGATGAAAGTTTCAAATTCATTTAAATTAAACATTTTACTTCAATCTGATTATTTAAGCTACATGATTTATTAATTATAACCAATTATCATCCATTATATAAATACATAAGTAGGATAATAATTAAGTGTTAACAACAATTAACAAATGATAATAATACCAAACAATTACAATCCATTTGGTAAAATGTTACAATTGAAATCAAGAAGAAGAAGCAAAAAACTAAATTCAAATTACCATTTTTCATTGCTAATTAACAACAATCAACGTAACAATTAATCATAATCAAAGAGTCAACGAAATTTAGAGAGGAATCACAATTAACTAATCATCATCATTAACAGTAACAATTACACCACTTAAAAGCATTTAACAAAAAGACAGTGAGAGAGAGAGAGAGAAATGATTAAGTTGATTGTGAACAATTTACGAAACTCAATTGACCAGAAAAAGAAAACAAAATGTTCCGATAATAAATTATCATGATAAGAACTTTTTTTTTTACTTCTCATGTTATTAAAGTTAATTTTCCTCCTCATTTAAAATCAACAATTTAACAAAATAATCAATTGTAACAATATAACATGTATCATCGTGAAGATATCAACCTAATCATCATCATCATCATTTTTACAATGGGCCAATGGATAATAATATAAATCAGTTCAATCCATTGAAAGTTCATGTAAGTGTATCAGAATTTTCCATGAGATATATAATAAGTATTCAGATTCTGAGGGATAAAAATTGTAAAAGAGGAGAGGAAAAAAATTCTCAAAAGGCAAAAGGCTATTTCCATGATGTATCTTCACAATTGAACCATGAATATCATTCAATGTATCACCACGATGATAATATTTACCGTTACCTTATCATTGTCTTTTAAATTGAACTAATATGTGAGCTCATCATCATCATTTTTCATTGATCATCTTCATACTCAATCTTCAATCTCATGGTGATGTTATTTAGCTATTTTTTTGTTACTCATACTATTTGTGTGCCATCAAGTGGGAATCCAATCAATAGAGTGTGTATGTATAACCTTTATGGAAACGGTGGGAAAAAAATTATTCAGATGAAGAAGGAGGAGAAAAGAAAGAAAAAAAAAGTTCATCATCAGGGTAAACCCTTTATATCCTTTTGTTGTTCAGGGTGGGAAGTGGGAAAAAAGTTTTCGCTACCAGGGAGAGAGAGAAAATAATCTCAATCAAATGAACAGAGAAGAAGAATAAAATTTTACCATTATCATGATGATAAAAAGAAGAAGAAGATGAGGTAATGATGATGATGATCATCATCATGATGATGGTGAAAAAGATGCTGAATCTTTGATTCAGCAAACCTTTGGGACAGAATAATAGAGAAGAAGGAAAAA